CAAAGCTGTTTTCCCTTGTTGCCTGATGGAAGCTGTTCTCATTTAAATACTCTGGGTTGCATTGCCTGCACTGCTGGATTTGGGATGATTGATTTGTATTCTGTATCTCAGGGAACCAGAGAGATACCGTCCCATCTTTAAATGTGTTTTGTTAGTGAGCACTGTCAAAGTCTGCAGGAGGTTGGAGTTTATAATAGATGGAGTGGATGGATTTTTTTCATATGACCCAAGTCTAGCTTAACTTGCATGTTTTCTGCTCTTCTCAGATTGGACTCCCTGCAGCCTTTGTTCACACTGAGCTTTAAAAGGACATAATTTAGCAGTCTTTATATTGGAACAGAAGGTAATAATTCTTTAAAACATTTGATTGAGTTTTTCAGGGAAGAAGGATGAAAGAAATTTTTCTGGTGCCTGCTATATACTCAGCACCCCAAAGTGTTTTCTTATTATTCATTTTTATTTATACTCACAAAATAATGTCCCTGCAAATAAGGCAGGGAATTTTGGTTTCATTTTTTTCTAGACGGAAGAACTAAGCAATTCAAGGGATCTATGGGGGACCAGGACAAGAGTAGCGTTGGACTTGGAATCAAAAGCTTAGGATTTGGTCCTGGCTTTACCACTTAGTAGGTATGTGATTTTTTAGGGAGACACTTAACTTTTCTGAGCCTCAGTTTCCTCATTTGTAAAACAGGGAAAATATAACTGTAGTATCTGCCTCATTTATCGTGAAAAACAAAAAGGGTCATGTGCTGACATTATCTTGCACTATGTGTGTGTGAATAGCTATGAAGAACTCAGGCCTTCACCAGTCCAGTACTATTTGTACTGAATGCTGTTGCTTCCAGGGAAGCCCTTATTGAAGAGGCAGTCACCCAAGTATACTATTCCTTTGTAATAATTCAGTACTTATTCTCAGAGTCAAATGCCAGCAAATGAGTATCATTTATATAAGTACTTAATACTATTTTATGGTGGCATGGGAGTAGGAGGAAGGAAAGTGAAGTGAGTCTTAACTACCCAAGGGTTCCTCCACTCCTTTTTCTATGCTATTGTTTTGAAAAAAATAACAAGGACAAAAGAGTACATTTAGCATACAATCTCTGTGTTTCAGATTTGGCTAATGAGAAATTTTTACTGCTTTATTTGGTTCTGAGTCAACCTATGTTCAAAGAATTTATTGATCAGTAAAAATAATGAAAATGTGGGAGCTAGAAATGGTTTGCACCGCTCTTGCTAATGAGCTGCTAATGAAATTATGCTTTTGTGGCAAAGGTTGACATTCTGGGCTCCTGACAGACTCTGGAATCCATCCTTTTTCCCTAAAATAAACTGTAACCCCTCAATTCACTGGAAAATTGGCGTAATTAGCTCTCATGCCTGGTGTCTTTCTTTTGATCTCATCACTTGCAAGGTCAGCCTTGCTGGGTCAATGTAAGTACCTTTTGAGTATGTTTGTTGTTATTTTTTTGATCTCATTGACATGGCACCTCCTTCTGTTGGTGTCCATCCCAACCTGTCTTCTTACCTTCTTAGGTAAATTGCAGGTTTGACCATGTCACCCTCCAAATCAAACTCCAGGGAGACCCTGTTGCATTTAGGGTCAAATATAAACTCAGTCCCTTCTGCCCCCAGCTTTAAGTGTCCTCCCCTAATAAATTATATTGTGTTGATTATAGATTATAGATTATATTTGATGTTGATTATATTGTTGGATGTTTATTTTATGAATAATTATATAATGTAAATATTGTCTTTCCAGATAGAATATAAGATTCTCGAGGTCAAAGACTAGTTAATTTTTGGCGTTGTATCCTCTGTATACCACAGTACCAGGCACATAGGAAAGCTCTTAATAAATGTTTTCTGATTGAATGATTAATTTCATTATCTTAGATAGGTTTAGATATTATTTGTTGCCATTTGTGAGTAATATGGGAAATGTTGGCATGAAGATGATAGTCTCAGGTAGAAAAACTAAATGGGCTCAATGGCTTCTGAGATCCCTCCTAGCTGTCAGTCTGTGGTTCTGTAATCAGTTGTGGAGGGGCAGTCAGAAGATAGGCACATCAGATCAATATTGATTACACTTCGAATTAATCCAGTAATTCTGGAAAACAACTTGAAATTATGCAGGAACGCGTATAAAATTGCTTATCCCTTTTCACCCCAAAATTATAGTTCTTGTACCATCCCAGTGAGGTTATTGATACTAAGGAAAGAGCTCTTTGTACACAAATGTACATGGCAACATTATTAATGATAATTAAAAAGTTGGAATCAATATGTGTGCCCAACAATAAGGGAGTAGTTCAGCAAATTATGGTATAAGAATTAATGGAATCTTATTTTGCCATAAGAAATATAAATGTGAAAAATTCACTTGGGAAGCCCCATGAAATGTAAGCTTTCATGAAATGATACAGAAAGAAGAAGGGCAAAAAACAAAACAAACATACAATGTTTGCCAATGTGCGCCTACATACAATGCGCACCTTATAGGTGTGTGAACTGAGCCAAGAGTGAGGCCCGAGATACCCAGTGGCACTCCCCCAGACTACACAGAAACTATCTCTGCCCCTAAAGGGAAAAGCATTTCATTGTGAACTTAAGTGTTTTTGGTTTTTTTTCTCTTCTTTTTGCTTACGAGACCCAGTTTCTTGTCCTTTCTCCCTGATGTTCTGTCTTTCCCCCTACAACTTGTAAATATTTTCTCTGCCTTTGTTTTCATTAATTTCTTGGCTTTGGATCCTTTAGGTCAGGTAACTTGCAAACTTGGCCATTATCTTCCTGGGGTCAAATTTATATTTAATTGTGTCTTTCTTGCCTCTACTACCATGAAGTCTTTTTTTCTTTCATGTTTTAGTTTTGTTTTAAATGACTATATCCTGTATTTTAAAATGAATATTATTTGGTTCATACCTTCTGTGCAGAGTCATGTGGAAGGAATAATTTTGGAGATTCATGTACCACAATTTGTTTATTCTCTAATTGATAGTATCTACTTTGTTTCTAATTTTTTTTGCTAATGCAAAAATGTTGCTATAAATATATAGGTGTATATGGGAACATTTTTCTTATCAGTGGCCTCCTTTGGGTATAGCCTAGTAGTAGAATCTCCTGATCAAAGTGTATGGAAATTTTAGTAATTTTATTTGCATAATTCCAAATACTTTCCAGAATTTTTTTTTTTTACTGACTCACAGCTCTACAATACTTTTTACTAGTGTGCCTAACTTCCCACAACCCCTCCAACATTGACTGTTTCCATGTTTTGCTAACTTTGCCAGTTTGCCGGGTGTTAGGTGAAACCTCAAGAGTTGTTTTGATTTGCATTTCTCTTACTGTTAGTAATTTTGAACGTTCTTTCATATGGTTGTGAATTCTTTGCAGTTCGTCTTTTGAGAACTGTTTGTTCATATGCTTTGACCACTTATCTATTGGATATGAAACCTTTATCAGATACATTTGTTAAAGATTTTTTTTCCATGTTGCTGCTTCCCTTCTTATCCTAGTTGCATTATATACCATATATCTGTTAATTGTTTTTATGCCTTGGATACCAAACCTTTATTAGATAAATTTGATAAAGATTTTTTCGCGTTCTCTTCCATTCTTATCCTAGGTGCATTAATTCTCTTTTTGCTGAAGAGTTTCGATTATATCTTTATCCTTTGGTTAAGAGTACATCTCCATTTATATAATGCATCCATCTCTAAGACAGCAAGAACCTTAATAAGTTAGCTGCTGGATGAACTGACAGCAGGATGGCTAATCCATGATATATGAAACAATACTAATTATTAATAATTAATTTTTGAAGAAGCTGTTAAAACAGTCATCTTCACTTGAGAAAGTTGTCCTAAGGATCTGTCATTCATTACTTTGCAAAGTGCACCATTCTGTCCTCCCCTCCATCTTTGTGATTGCAAAGCATTTTCTTAGCAAAGAAGTTATGGAGTCCATGTCCTTCTCTAGCCTTCTGTTGAAGGCAGGGAATTGGTCTCTGTTTTATAAATAATGAGGCTGAGCCAAAAGGACAAGCTGGTAGAGACTGGGAGAAACTGATAAGGCACAGTTCACCGCTTGTCCATTTGTTCCCACTGTATATGCTCAGGGTTAAACCAGCTTAGGAAGATCTTATTCCAATGCTGTTTATTATTATATAATCCTTAGCCATGACTCTTTGCTGCAGCCCAGCCTGCTGTCTTCTCAACTTTGAACCCTTCCTTGTATTTCCCTGCCTAAGCTGCTCTGTTGGCTAGCTCTTGTCCCAAGCGTGTTGCTTTCTGTTTCTCTGCTTTTGCACATACTCTATCCTCGGCCTGGAATAGTCTTTGCCTCCTCTCTGCCAATTTGTGTCTCTGACCTCTTTCCACATAGCCTCCCTAGAGCCAACAATCCTCCTAACACCAATCACACCTGTACTTTTTATCTCTGGAACACTGAAGCATTCAATTTATAGTATCTTATTTTTCACTTACTGACTTGTTGCTTTTTAATTGTGTTGGAGTTATTTTGTATACTGTATATATTTTGTTTTCCTAACTGGATAATAAGCTCCTTAAAGCAGGGACTACTCTTTCTTTTATGCTCACCCACAGAAGATTCTAGTACAGGGCTTCTAAGCATTAAGGCATGAAATAAATCCTATTGCTTGATAACTAGTTCATCCAAGGAGTGAATGCCTAGGTTCTTACTGGCATCACATTGATTGTTTGAGATGCAGGGGTTCACCTGTTTCTTACTATAGGCATGGGGCCACAGGTATGTGTAGACATGTATCTAAACAGTTTGGCATTTTTAGTGCTTAAATTCAGCTTGTTTGGCACTTGTCACTCTCCCCTGAGTGAGGGGCTGGAACCTCTCACCAGCAGGAGCAGTCTTATGTCACACAAGTTTTTATGAGTGAGATAAAACTCTTTCAGGGTTTGTCTGAACCCAGAATTCCCTACTTTCAACCCTAGGTTTAACGTAGTGTCCCTCCTTTTGGCTTTTAGGTCAAGCTGTCCCTGCTGGTTCCCATGTGCGTCTGAATCTGCAGACTGGAGAGAGAGAAGTAAAGCTCCCAGATGGGGAAAAATACCAAAATAACTTGAAAGAGCAAAAAAAAGGCCAAAGGTAAAAGTATAAGACCCAAGGGGACCTGGTTTATGGCGTTGGTTTCTGTAATATTTCTGACATTAACTACAGTAATATTCCTTAATTCAAAGTACAATAAAAAGCCTCATGAATTCAATACTCACTGATTTAGAATTTGTGGTAAAGCACCTAGGAATGGACTGAAGTTTACCTTTGTACTAGCATCACAAAGCAAATGAATAGTTTGAGCAAGATTTTAGGAGAACGGTTTAACCTTTAACAAAACACAGCTGTTCCTAAGAACTTAAAGATGATCTATTTGCATCCTAACAGTTAATGAGTTGATTATAGATGAGCCTTATTTATTTATTAAAGCAGGTCTGGCAGCCCCTCTATTTTTTTTTATCAGTGCTCTTTTTTAGAAAGCAAAAAATCTGCATTAAAAAAAGTTGTAATTCAGAATTTTCACTAATTCGCAAAACCTCCAGTTTGTTTAAATTAGAGCAGCTTTATGTAGTCTAGAAATTATAGTACTATTTTAGTAGTTAGCTTACCCTGTTGTTTAATGTTGAACATCTGGACAGTGGGGATAAGAACACTTGTACTACCTACCTCATAGTGTTATGTGGAAAGCCTTAAAGCGATATTTAAATGTGAGCTACATAATATTAGATAACTTGAATCCAAATAATTCATTTGTACTATGTTCTTTGTATTTTGAATGAACATGTTATCCTTCCACAGTGTGTCCCTTTGTATGGGGTTTAGTATCTCTCTCTCTCTCTCTCTCTCTCTCTCTCTCTCTCTCTCTCTCTCTCTCTCTCGTGTGTGTGTGTGTGTATGTATGTGTGTGTTTGTATGTTTCTCATATCTGGGTGGATTTCATTTTGAGTAGCTAATATAGATGTATGATTGAGTTTGCAAAGGCAAGTTTTTTGGTTGGAAACCTATGATGAGCTTAACATAGTGACGACCCATCTTTGTCAGTTCAAATCCAGCTTCAGACACTTACTAGCTGTGTGACCCTGGGTAAGTCACTTAACCCTGTTTGCCTCAGTTTCCTCATCTGTCAAATGAACTCGGGAAGAAAATGGCAAACTGGGGCAGCTAGGTGGCACAGTGGATAGAGCATTGGCTCTGGAGTCAGGAGGACCTGAGTTCAAATCTGGCCTCAGACACATAACACTTAGTAGCTATATGACTCTGGGCAAGTCACTTAACCCCAGTTGCCTCACCAAAAACAAAACAAAACAAAAAAAACAAAAAAAAAAATGGCAAACTACTCCAGTATCTTTGCCAAGAAAACCCCAAATGGGGTCGTGAAGAGTTGGACACAACTGAACCGATTAACTAGAAAAAATAATTTTATTTAGCCCCCACCTACAGGCGCAGTTGCTCCTGTGGCACTCCAGGGTTGTTTCCCACAAATTCATGGTACTTTTGTTCAGTTGGATAATTGATCGGGGTTTGTAAGCATGTTTATAACCTATATCTGATAACCTTGACTCCTGTTTCACTGACTAGATTGAGATAATCGGAATTAAGCTTTTTCATTAACATTCTTTTGATTCCCTCTGGTCACAGAATAGGTATCCCTGCTTTTTTTTTTTAACCCTAATCCTTCTGTGTGCCATTGTAATCCTATTGTCTTCTGTCTCTTTACATAAGATCTCACCATTCATCTTTCTTTTGTTCATTTTCCTTTTCTCTCCTTCCACCAGCTCCTCCCATCAGCCTAAAAATATTGACATATTTTTCCCAGTCCTAAAAAGCCTTTCTTCTATCTGATCCAGCTACAACTTTCCTCCCTTTCATTGGTAACTTCTTCTTTTTTTTTTTTTTTTTGAAGCTATTGGGGGTAAGTGACTTAACCAGAGTCACACAGCTAGTGAATGTTATGTGTCTGAGGCTGGATTTGAACTCGGGTCCTCCTGATTCCAGGACTGGTGTTTGATCCACTGCACTACGTAGTTGCCACCCCATTGTTAACTTCTTGAAAAAATTTGTATATGCCTCAAATTTCCTTTCTAATTGACCCTGTTTAATCTAATTTCTTCCCCGCCCCCTCTCCATACACATCCTATTCAGTCTGTACTTCTTTGGTAACCAGTGACCTCTTGAAATTACTAGATTTAGGGATAGCTTGATGGTACAGTGGATAGAGCACTGGCCCTGAAATCAGGAAGACCTGAGTTCAAATGTGACCTCAGACACGCTTACCAGCTTTGTGACCCTGGGCAAGTCTCTTAATTCCATTGCCTAGCAAAAAAAAAAAAAAAGAAATTCCTAGATTTGATGATTTAAAAAAAACAAACACACAAACGAAACAACCCTTTATCCTCAAACTCTGTGAAGTTTTTGGCACTGTTGACAATCCCCTCCTCCTAGACACTTTCTTTTCTCTTGGCAGAAGTGCCAGAGTTTCTTGATTTTCTTCCTATTTCTCTAACCACTTCTGCCTCTCTATCTGGCTTTTCTCCTAAACTTCTTGCTGTGGGTGTGTCATTTGAGGGTTCTGCTTTTGCCCTATCACTTTAGCAGTCTTGTTTCATCACTGTAGTTTCAACTAAAAAACTCTAAGCAGATGACTACTAAATCTCTGTCTTTAGGCCTGATCTTTTTCTGAGCTCCAGACCCACATCTTCCTGTAAGACATTTGTACCTGCATGTTTCACTGGTACCTCAAACTTTATCTGAAACTGAGCTTCTCTTCCCCCGAAATCTACTTCTCTTGAGTTGATTATTTCTGCCTGTGGCATCACCATTAGCCTTATCTCCTAGCTTTGTATCTGTTGGTAATTCTTTGTGTTCCTTTACCTGTTATATCAAATGATGTTGAGTTCTTCTCAGCAACATCTCATCTCTGTCTCTTCTTCTCTTTTCCTGTTGTCATCACCCCAGTACAAGACCCCATTATTGCCTTCCCTGGGCTTTTTTCTCCTTACAGATATCTCTTCCTGCTTTCTCTTTCTTTTTCCATTCCTCCATTCGTTCCATTGCCAGAGCAATGGTCTTATGCAAAGATCTTTTTTTCTAGTCTGTGTGTTCAGACATCTTCAATGGCATCTAGTTGTCTATGAATTAAAATTCAGCCTCCTCCACTTGCCATTCAAAACCTACCATAGTCTTTCACCAACTTATCTTTAGTTTACTCGTCATAGCAAACTCTACTCTCTGCTTCTGCCCCCTCATAGGTACTATAATCCTAAGCCTTTGGAAGCCCAGTGCCATTTATAGGGCTATTGCTAGTATCCAGTGTTTTGAACTTGATCATTTTTGGAGGGATACCTCTGTGGTCACGTCCCTGTTTGACACCTGATTCTTCCCTGAGGGAGCACAGCAATTCTATGCTTCTTGCACATTCATTCTCTGGTACTTTTGTAACTCTGGCTTTTTAAAGTCCTTCATAACTTGACTTCTTCCAGGGCAGCTAGGTGGCGCAGTGGATAGAGTACTGGCCCTGGATTCAGGAAGACCTGAGTTCAAATCTGGCCTTAGACACTTGACACTTAACTAGGTGTGTCACCCTGGGCAAGTCACTTCACCCCATTGCATGTGTGCATAAATAAATAAATAACTTGACCCCTTCCTATCTTTCCAGTCTTCTTATACCTAATTTTTTGTGACACTGGCCTTGCTGTTCCTTGAACAAAACACTTCATCTCTTCACTGGCTCTTCCCCATTCCTGGAATGCTCTCCCCCTCCATCTCTGTTTCCTGGCTTCCTTCAGGTCCCAGTGTCTGCAGGAAGCCTTTCCTAGTCCTCTTTAATTTTAATCTCTTGTACAGAAATATTTGCATGTTGTTTCCCCTCACCTTGTGCAGGGTTGCCGTCCCTTGTATCCCCAGAGTCTTGCACAGTGACACATAGACACAAAAATAAATACTTGTTGACTCTTGTTGGCTCCAGAGCATAAAAGTGGCCTGAGGAAATAGATTGTGAATAAAGTGGAGGCCACTGAGACTCATCCTTGTCTTTCCATTGGTTCCCCTGTGGGTCTTATTACCTTTTCTACAGAAGCAACACTACCAGCTCCTTAGTGAAAGAGAGTGATGTGAGAACCTAGAATGCTGAGACCCTTGACATTGAATTTTTCTGGCCTGCCTTTCACAGTGGGCTGCTTCTTGGTTCAGTGCACCTTGCCTTAATGTTCTGGCTGTATTCTCTTTCCTGGTTTTTTCTCCATACTTGTGTTAAAGCTGCTCTTTGAACATCTCCACATTGTCGTATCTTTTGCTTTATGCAAAGTTATTCTTTTGTTTAAAGCTCTTTTAGAAAATTTCCTGACAAAAGTCTCTAATAAGTAATGGCTCATATTTATAACATCTCAGCATTCAGATCAAAAGAGGAGCTAACTTAATGATACAAACAGTGCATCACATTGTAGGTATCATTCCAAAAATCAACAGTATTTCCTTGTACTATTTTCTACATTTAATTTTTATTATATTTTTCCTTAATTACGTGTAAACAAACATTTTAAACATATTTTTAAAATTTAACTTTTCTTTTGTTATATTTTAAGCTCCAGATTCTCTCTCTCACTCCCTTTTCACCCTGCAGTGGAGAAGGCCGCCATTTGACACGCCCACATGTATGTACACATGCACGCACACACACATGTGCATATGTATGTATGTAAATCCATACTATACACATTTCTATTTATCAGTTCTTTCTCTGCAGGTAGATAGCCTCTTCCTTCATAGGTCCTTTATAGTTAAATTTAAGTATTTATAATTCCCAGAATAGTTAGTCATTCACAGTTATTCTTTGAACAGTATTGCTGTTACTGTAGACAATGTTCTCTTGGTTCTGCTCATTTCATTCTTCACTATTTCATGCAAGTCTTTCCATGTTTTTCTAAAATCAACCTGGTCATCATTTCTTTCAGCCCTGTAGTATTTCATTACAATCATTTACCACAAGTTGTTTAGCCGTTCCCCAATTGATGGGCATCCCTTCCACGTTCAGTTCTTTGCCACCACAAGGAGAGCTGCTATGAATATTTTAGGACATATAGGTTCTTTTTGTTTTT